GACCCCAAAAACATGGGGGGGGGATAGCAATTATAATATGAGACGTGCTAAATTTCAAGCTAAGGGCTGGCCAGATAGCTCAGCAGACTAAAGCACCTGCTTAGGCAGGTGCAGGGACAAAGGTTCAATCCCCAGTGTGCCCTGCTCGCCCCACCCCTGGGGCACACTGAGATGAGACTGAGACTGCGCATGGTGGTGTGCCCCTGCAATCCCAGTGCTTGAGAGGCTGAAAACAGGAGGATCACTATGAGACCTACCTGTACAGTGAGAACCTGTACTAAATACCTAAAAAAATTATAAATTTCAAGCTAAAACTGATTAGAAGAGACATCAATAATATCTGCACCAAATACAGGAGTACTTGTCTTCATAAAACAAAAACTGCTGAAATGAAAAGATCAAAGAAACACTAACATAATTATAGTAGGAGATTTTAATGCCCCATTTTGCAAAGAGATTGACAACTAAACACACCCTTAAACACACACACTTAGTGATATATATCCACCCTCTACAACAAAGTATGCATTCTTTTCAGCAGTAGCTGGTATTTTTGCCAGAATAGATCACATACTAGTTCACAAAGTAAATATAAAACACAGATTACCCCATGCATACTATCAGGCTACTGTGCAATTAAAATTGAAATCAATGACAGGAGAAATTTTAGAAAACGTGACAGATTCTAAACAATGTAAAGATACACTCCTAAGCAATGTACGGGTCACATAAGAAATCAAAGAGGAAAAAAAAATTCTGGAAGTTAATGACAGTGATGGTACAACTCACCAAAACCTCTAAGACACTAAGGAAAACTCAATCTTCTGAGACATTTTAAGAAACTTGGGCAAGAAGTCAGCCTAAACTGAAAGTAAGCGGGAAAAAAAATGAAGGCAGAAATCAATGAAATTGAGACTAAAAAACAGTCAAACAAAACAAAATAAAACACAAAAACCTAACAAACTGACCCAAGAATAAAGTAGATAAGCCCCTGGCCAGAATTATCAAAAGAAAGCAAGAAAAGATTGACATCCTTGCAATTAGAAATGAAAAAGGAGAACTCATAATAGACACTGGAAATCCAGAAGACAATAACTAGTTTTAAAAATTATATTTAGACAAATTAGCAAATTGTGAGGATATGGACAGATTGTTAGATACGTACAAATCACCAAAACTAACCTAAGAAGACATAAATATGTTTAGCAACCAAATAACAAGCCATGAAATTGACACAGTGATAAAGAATCTACCAACTGATAAAAGCCCAGGACGTGATGGAATTAGTGCTACGGATGTTATATCACCAATATTCCTCAAGGTTTTCAAAGAGACTGGAAGACACGGAGAGGTGGAATAACTAACCAATTGTAATCCACAGCTGAGCTGAATCAGCCTGGCATAGGTGTGCAGGACCCACCTGAGGATGGTTGTCAGTAGCATAAAAGGAGACCGGGAAGATGATGGTGCTGTTGACTCTCCTGGAGAAGTTCATTGTGATAGTTTTCCTGACATAAATTTGTCTGTTCTCATATTGCTCTCATCCTCGTGTCCTCACCGCCACTGAGGATGGCTGCAGGTCTCCTTGGAGAGCTTTGGTCCTTACCTTGAGCATCACTTCCTGGCTCAAGGAAGATCTCTCAGCCCGCTGGCATTGATGCTTCACCCCACTGGCACAAACTTTCTAGCTTCCACCACTGGCCTTTGGGCCTTCCCAGGACAGATCCTTGGTACAGACTTGCATGATACATTGTCATGGGCTCTAGGCCTCCAGTCTGACTTGTGGAGGATACTGTCGTGGGCTCTAGGTCTTCGGCTGGACTTGTGAAGAACATTGCTGTGAGATCCAGGTTCTCAGCTGGATTCTCTGGGTCTTCAGTACATGGGAATATCTCTTGTACTCTTCTGCATTTGACTCTTAATTATGTGTCCTCTATTAAATCTATTCACTTGCAAACCCTGACCACAACAGCTCCCAAACTCATTTACGGAAGACAGTATCACCCTGATCCAAAACTGGATAAAGAGCCAAGGAAAAAAGAAAACTACAGGCCAATCTTCATCATAAACAAAGATGGAAAAGTACTCAACAAGAGATTAGCAATAGAATGCAGCACACTACCAAAAAGATCATACAACATGATCAAGTATATTTTATACCACAGATAGAAGAATGGTTCAACATACATAAGTCAATAAATATATCACACAACAGACACAGGGTAAAACACCATATAGTCATATCAATAAATGCAGAAAAGGTTTTTAATAAAATCCAACACCTCTGTGTGATAAAAACCCTGAAGAAAACAGGTAGAGAAGGAACATACTGTAATGTGATAAAAGCTATATATGACAAATATCCAGCATCATGCCAAATGGGAGAAAACTAAAAGCATTCCCCCTAAAATCAGAAACAAGGCAAGGATAGTCATTAGCACCTCTTCTATTCAAAATAGTAGTTGAAACATTAGCCAGATCAACTAGGCAAGAGAAAGAAATAAAAGAGATACATATAGGAAAGGAAGAACTCAAATTATCATTATTTTCAAATAAGTCTATATAGAAGATCCAAAGAATTCCATCTTATAATTATGACAAATTTCAGCAATGTAGCAAGATACAAGATCAATACACAAAAATCATTAGCACCTGTGTACATCAACAACACAAAAGCTGAGAAAGAAATCATGAAAATAATACCATTCACATTAGCTTCAAGAAAAATGCAATACCTAAGTATTAACCTAACCGAGGAAGTGCAAGTGAACGATTTCTACAAAGAAAAATACAGTACTCTGAAAGAGGTTGAAGAGCACACCAGAAAATCAGATGTCCCTTGCTCCTGCATAGGCAGAATCAACATTTTCAAAATGGACATACTTCCAAAACTGTAACAGAGATCCAATGCCATCCCAATAAAAATACCAAGAGCATATGTCACAGAACTTTTCCTGAGCTTCTTTTTTTAATCATAATTTATTGATAGTCCCTAACCATCAGTTACTTGTATTTTAAACTCTTTTCTTATATTAGGGAAATATCTCCCATGACTTCCATAAGCATGTTGAAGTATCCATCCATGCTATCATCTAGTTGACAGAATAAGATGGTGAGGTGGAACAAGACAGCCTAGCACTACCATTTTCCTCCTCTGGGAATGTTCATTTTCTTCCCTTGCAGGAGAGGGTCTCCAAGTCAGAGACCTGGATCTGCAATGGCCCAGCTGAGGGCTGTAGGAAGGGCCCCAGAGATTTGCTTCACTGCCTCAGTATATAATCTTGGCGCCCCTACCTCCTCTCAAGCCAGTTGGGACGTACTTCCCATGCTTACTCCAGTCCCAAGCACTGTCTCTTCCATGTTCACCAGCACCACTGTTGCCCCATAGGAATTTGGAGTTCTCTGGGCCTCCACTACCAACTATGTCTTATGTGCTTAGCATGGGTTAGTGTGGGCCTGACACACACACACACACACACACACACACACATATATTTTTTTTCCTTTTTTAACCCCCTTGTCTACCAGAGGAGTCATATGAAATCTGTTGTACACATTCAATACAAGTTAGAGTAGCAACTATTTTTGAACAAAATATGTACTATCTGCAGTCTTTGGTCTCAGGAAGTTCAGAATCTGTTAGCTTGCTTTACACTGTATCCTAGTACTTTCTAGAACTTGTGGCCATTGTTGAAGAAGATAAGATCTATTTACATAAGAACAGACGAATTCTCCTGTCCACATCTCGGCGGGCTAAATTACAAATTATTATAATTGTTCCTTTCAGCATCTAACTTTATTCACATAAAAATCTTTTCAAGTTCTCCTAGGACTTAAAATTTTAGCTCCTAACACGGGATGTGAACCTTCTTTTAAAGCCCACAATTGGAACATTTATAAAGAGTTGTGTTCTTCACTTAGACAGCACTAGGCCAAGAGTAGATGGAGGACGATTCTTGTGTGCTTGAAAAAGAGTCCTCTTAAGTTGTTACGTTTCTGTCATCTTTAGGAACACAGAAGTCATTTAGAATTTTCAGTAAAAGCACAAAGAATCTTTGGGGCTGCTGAAGAAGATAAAAGAATTCTCAGCACACTATATACTTTCAGAACAAAAATATTAAGAATAAAAATAGTTTCTCGACTCAGTCATGCTTTGGAATTGATTATTTATTTCTGATGATTCTCAAAAGGAGGAAAACAATCTACTTGGCTGTTCTAACAAAAATTATTCATAGTGCTCTTCCCTCCTAGGATAATGGACTATTAGATCTTCCATAAAATCCCTTTCAGTAATTTTGTGATGGGTTTGCATTCTATAAACCATGTTCTGTAACTTGAAAAAAAATAACACAAGAGAATCATCTAAAAACACTTCATTCTACTGAGTTTGTTGAATTTTCTATTCCAATTTTTTTCAGCCCTTCTACAAAAGTAACCAGTCCATGTTTCAGATTTTCCTATACTGTAAAACAGAAGTTTCACGACTGCCACCTACTGGTGAAGAAAACAATGACAATTTATTTGTCAAATTCCCTTTTCCTCTCAGATATTTTGCACTAAAACCTATTGATTGCTCTTCAACAGGTCATTCACAACATTTTATATGTTTAAGTGTAAAGCACATATTTCTGGTTTTGTAAGCAAAAGCAAAATATGTTTCCTTTTTACAATGTAATATTTTTTAAAAACCTGACACAGATGGATTGTGGTGTTTCAATTTAATTTGTTTTTACAGACATCGACACTACAATAAAATGCGTGGCTACTGCAAGCTCAGTCAAGTTCAACTAAGTCCATGGTGAAGATCTTTCTGAAAGGCACCATCAACTTTATGCACAAATGAATTGTGAAAACAAAAAGACAACTCCATAAATACATAAAATACGCTCTGTAGACAGTGCGCAGAACAGAAGACGGCGGCCTGCTACTCGGCCGTGCATGGCTGTACGTTCGACTCTGCGAACAGCAAGCAGCTGGGACTCGGAATGCGTGACACATACCTGGCTTAAAATGTGGTAAAGAATGTACCCCGGGCCACGTGTCCTCATTTGGTGTTCCGAGAACCTAGTGGAGAGCAGAAAATTGGGGAAACAGACTTAGTATTTCCAGAACACTCAAAATTCTCAAGTGTAGAAACAGTACACTGTGTATTATGAAACTCTGGATTTTTTTTTTTCCATTATCGTGTGCCAGGGATTTTATTTGAGTAAAAACAAACCCGGCTAAGGAGCCACCCAAGATGAATCTCCGTGTTCTAACAGACGCAACCGAATGTGACAAGCTGAACTTTATCAAGCACAGAGCTCAGGAGCAGGCTGATGTGACAAGGGGTCATCTTCGGGGAACTGAATGATGGGTGCCTGCGTCTCTCGTGATTCTGTCCCGAGCTCTGGCCCTTCCCTCCAGTCTCTCCTGTCTCAACGTTTACCAGTTCCAAGAAGTCTTGCCCTCTCCCACATCCTCTGCCTGAGCAGCACAACCCGTGTCCTGTCAGGACAGGACAGCTTTTAGGGCTCCAATTCTTTCATTCCACTTAAAATATTTAATGATGTGGTTTAGTTTTCTCCTGCCAAAATGCTGTTCTTCCAGCACTTTCTCCCTTTTTTATCCTTATTTCCATCTTTCTCCATGTGTCTATCATGTGAACATTTGATCGAGTGAAAGGAATTCAAGGGAAATGACAGCTCCTCAGAAACTGGGCATACTTGTCTGGAATTTTCTGGCCAGGCTATGTGACTCTTACATGCTCTGGCAAATCACAGGTAAATCACTGACTGGAAACAGTGACATATAAAGGTTAAAGAGCACAGATCCTAGAAATAGGCTTTGAATTCAAATCCTAGCTCCCCAGTCTTCTAGTTATACTAACAGGAGCAAGAAAGAGCCACATGGAACTTAAGTTCCCCTTCGTAAGCTGGAAGGGATAACAACACTCTGTCATCTCTGTGAAGACCACAAAGCACGCCTTGGGCAAGCATCAGCAGGCACTCAGAGCACCTGCGGAAGATGCTCTGGTCAGGCGCAACTGCCACGGGGAAGAATGCGCACCACCGCTTGTGCCAAGGAGGCAAGGTGGTCAGTGCCAGGTATGATATTTAAATTATGATGGACTAGAAGGGTGATCCCAGCAGGTGAGACAGGACCAGAGATAAAAGCTGGAGAAGAGCAAAGGAGTAGGAAGAAGGGAAGACACTAGGGGAGGAATGAGGCATGAACCTCATTTCTGAGTAGTGATGGACGTTGCTAGGCAATAAGGTAATGCACAGCTCAGTGCATGGATCTACTGGGCAGAGAGGGCTGTTGTGTCCAGGGACACCTACACAGTGAGCATTTTGCTGGCCTGTTGTGGGCCATGGATTTTTTTTTTCTTTTTTTTTTTTTTTTGAGGAACTGGGGATTGAACTCGGGCCCTTGTGCTTACCAGGCAAGCGCTTATTCCACTGAGCTATCTCTCCAGCCCGTGGGCCATGAATTGAGGTCAAATACATGCATTTGTTTCTCCCTAAAACACTAAAAAAGCACATGACATAGCACAATTCTTCTTGAAGTCATACTGGGTTAATTTTGTAAGTACTAATCAGTAGTAGCATCCATAGATAGATATGCCAACCAGATCAAGTGACTGACAGGCTGAGTGGGGAAGGGAAGGAGACAGGCAAGAGGGCTGGGAGAGTTGTTAAGATGGGAAAACAGACTGTAACATCCTATTACAACAACAGTGGGCTGCAAAAGCCATCGTCCCTTCTTTTCAGTAATTCCAACCATTCTTTCCAGGGATGGAGACCATCAAATTTGCAAGCGACAGGCTCAACCTCTCCAGGGATGTTCCTTTTCTCCCCTCACCATGAATTCTGCATGAAGGATGATGAGGCACATCAGTACTAAATTTTCCCAAACAGAAAGAGGGAATTGCAACTAAAGTTATGAATGGAACACAGACCTTCTGACACTGCCGGCAACAGTGAAAAGCTCAGCCAGAACCTAACGCTTGCTCTTATGCTTCTAAGTAAAGTGTGGTTGTCATCTGGACCCTCCCTGGTTCTACAACACTGTGTTGGCAAATGCCTCCCTGGCCTCCTCCTTGTCCATTTCCAGTGCTCTGTTTCAAAGTGATTATTAAATAGTATGGCTTTTCCATAAAAATTACCAAGCAGCAGAAAATTCGTAAGACTTTCTTCACTTACAGACTTGACTACTGAGATTCCTTGTCCTGGAGCATGAGCACAGAAAAGTAAAGCAAACAGAAAGGTGGCAAAGGAGAAGAAAAATTAAAAATTAATTTTGCTTCCTCTAAAGGAAAGGGCAGTTTGAGTTATGTGAGTGGTTGGCAGAGCTGAGTCACCCTTGCACTAGGGAACATGGGTGTGTGTCCCAGACTTTCATTCCTATTAACTACTCATAAACTCCACTACCAAGACACTTCTAAATTAGAACGAAAGAGGAAAATTGATCTATAAGAGTAAACTTTTGCAAATAAATGAGTGGAAAAAAATTGTGTGGCAGAGAAGAGAGCTTGACTACTGAGATTGCTGAGTAATGAGGGAGAAAGCTGGGTAATCACTTGCCAAATCAATATGGGGTGGAGGTGAGGGCAGATTATTCTGCTTATGACTAAATGTGTGCTTTGAATTCTCCACATCATCTGACTGCTCATGCCGGCTTTCTTCTCCCAGTGGTCACCTCTTCCTGAGTGCCCTGCCTCTGCTTTGGCCCGCTGAACTCTTGCATATATCTAAACCTCCCACTCCCAGACCTTTTACCAAGAGACTTCCAGGACACTGGGTCCATGGCACCTCTCTGTGCTTTGCAAAGACTTCTGTTTGCAGGATCTCACAACTGCCTTGGCACTGTGAGATGACTTTTGTCTCCTGCTGGCTGAGACCTCAAGAGGAAACTGCCACATTCAGTACCTCCATTCAGTTCATCCATGTTTGGATCCACATGCCCGCCACCAGACGTGGACTCGGTAAGTGCTGACTGACTGACTGACTGACTGACTGACTGACTGACTGACTGACTGAATGGTGTGTCTGGCTGAGAGAGGCAACGTCACTGTAACTGGGTTACGGCTGGGGTAGGCTGCAGAGCTGGCTATACAGTGAATCCGAAGACACTACATCTTATCTCCATTTCAGGTTCCCTCAACCAACAGGTCAGATGCACACATACATGTTATGCATTATATTATGTCATATATTGTTATGATATGTCATAATATGTCTGTTTGTCTATCTAATCCCCTCTTAGTACTGAAGGTAGAACCCGGGGTACTTTGCAACTGAACTACATCCCCAGCTTAAAATATTTTTTTCAACTTTTGAGCCATGGTCTCACTAAATTGCTAAGTTGCCTAGGCTTTGCATGAGCCTATAATCACCCTTTCTCAGCCTCCAGGCCGATGGAGCTACAGTGTGTGTACTATGCCTTGCTCTTTATAATGTTACTAGAAGTTTTATTACAGGAATAGACTCAAGTAGCCTCATTATTTCCTTTTGCTGCATGTTCTAAGTGCTGCTTTACCAAAATAATAAACATTCAGACTAGTTTCCAATGAACATATTGCTACAATATAAGAGCATTAATCTTCTCTTTTTTATTAGTGCCTATGAATGTTTGAAAGTACTAGACTTTAGTGCCCATTATATATTCTGAACATAACCATCTCCCCATTATGCTTCATGTGCTCCTCTCCACCTCACCCATACTCTCTTCCTCTTGTCCAGCAATAGTTTCTCATCTACTTTATGTCCTCTTTTTTAGATTACACATACTAGGAAGAACATGCAATATTCATCCTTTTGAGTTTGGCTTATCTCTTAAGATGATGTTCTATAGTTCTATTTATTTTCATAAAAATGGGGATATTTTCTTTATGATTGAATAATATGCTATTGTACATATGTATCACATTTTCTTTATCCATTCCTCTGCTGGTAGGAAACTAGATTGGTTTCCTATCTTGGCTACTGTGAATGGGGCTATAATAAATATGTGCACTCAGGCATCTCTGTAGTATGCTGACTTTCATTTCTTTGGGTATATACCAAGGAGTGGTGTGACCTCCATAGAGACTTCTAATTTACATACCAACCAGCAGTGCAGAAGGGTTTCTCTTTCCCTTTATCCTGGAAGCGTTTAGTGTATGTGTGGATGTGTGTGTGTGTGTGTGTGTGTGTGTGTGTGTGTGTGTTTATTCAGTATAGGTTCTCACTATGCAGCTCAGACTTGGAATGACCCTCCTGTTTTCAGCCTCCCCAGCACTGGGATGACAGGTGCACACACCATGCCTGGTCTCAGTGGCCGGCTCAGTGTGCCCAGGGGTGGGGTCAGTGTGCCATGTGCTGCTGGGGATTGAACTGCAGCCCCTGTGCTTGCCTAAGCAGGCACTTAGTTTGCTGAGATGTCTTGCTGGCCCCATTTAATATTTTTGTACTCCTGATGACAGCCATTCTGATTGGGATAAGATGGAATCTCAATATAGTTTCGATTTGTAAATAAAGGCTAAAGATACTGAACGCGTTTTCATATATCTATTGGATGGACATTTGTACTTCTTTTGAGAAATACAATTCTATTCATTTTCTTATTTATTTATTTATTTATTTATTTTGGTGAAACCAGGGACTGAACTCAGGCCCTTGCGCTTGCCAGGGAAGCACTTATTCTACTGAGCCATCTCCCTGGCCCCCATTTTCCCATTTATTGATCAGGTTATATGATTTTTTTAGTTAAGTTTGAGTCCGTTGTTATCCTAGATATTAATCATGTTAGAAGAGTAGCTGACAGTGCTTCTCTCCTACTGTAAAGGTAGCTCTTCACTCTCTTAGTTGTTTCTCCTTTATATTTGATTACATTTATTGGTACAATTAAAAATACACATGATGATCATATTCATCAAAGGGAACTTGTATCTGAATTGATATTTTTAGGTTTTTCTTTTTTTCTTTTTTTTTTTTTTCCATCTACTCCTCTCAACTCCTTTCCCCTCCCTATTTACAAAGTTGTTTTCATTGTATCCTTTAAAATCATTTTTTTCTTTTCCCTTCTTTCCTTTCTCACTTCCT